TTCTCTCAGGATCTTAGGCACGCACGCACACATGCCCGGTGTAAGTTTAAGCCACCGGGTCCGGGACTTGAACCGCGGTTGACCACATGGGAGTTCAGCGACATAGTCATTACATGCTAACTGCTGGTCCCCAATATACTTTTTTTTTTTAAGAGAGATTTTTGCTATAGGGCACGTGCACTCACCAGAGGGACAGAGTGAGAAATCTCCTCAGGAGGGTTGGCCATTTCGTAATCCCTTCTCCTTCATTCTCCTCTTGGGATTTTGGGCGCCCTGGCCTGAGTCTCAGGCCAGCAGGTCCAGGACTCGAATCAGGTTGACAACATGGGAGTCCAGTGACATAACCATTATGCCATCTGCTGGTCCCCCTAAATATGTTTCTTCTTTTTAAAATAATTATTTATTTAATTCCATTTGTTATTGTTGTTGTTTTTAATTTGACCAGAGAAAGAGAGAGAGAGAAAGGGAAAGGGAAAGCAAGAAAGCAAGCCGCTAGATCCGGGACTCAATCACAGCTGGTCATGTGGGAATCCAGTGCCTTTAACCACTACGCCACCTGCCGGCTCTCTCAAATATATATATATACACACACACACACATTTTTTTTTTTTGGCGAGGTTTTTGCTATAGGGCGTGTGCGCTCGACAGAGACAGAAAACGAGAAATCATCCCCCAAGGAGGATGGCCACGCCACAATCCCTTCTCCTCCATTCTCCTCTTGGGATGTTGGGCACACACACACACACATGCCCAGCGTGAGTTTAAGCCACCAAATCTGGGACTCAAACCACGGTTGACTACATGGGAGTCCAGCGACACAGCCATTACACTAACTGCTGGTCCCTCAAATATATTTTTAAATACATACTAAAATAAGAGCTTTATAAACAAAACATCCTGAAGTAAAACAAGTCATTTAATATAGAACAGTTCTCAGGAAAATGACCACTTTTGGTATGTCCTTATACAAGGGCTTATTAATCTTCAGAAAGATAAAGTATTTCCAGAATCATGTTAAAATATTTTAAATAAGGTATTCTTAACATAATCATTTATTTAGTGATAAAGTACTCATGTTTCTAATCATGAAAGGAAAAATTATTCCCTGAAGTTCTTCTAGTTCTTTAGTAAATTCAAATAACCTACATACTTAATTCTCTTGCCAAAAATCTCCAAAGGTCACTGGAGACATTTTGGCGTGGTATCTTAACTAACCTCTTCTGATATTACTGTTACACATATTACTTGTACGTTGAGAACCAGAAATAAATTATAGACATATTTGTCATTTGTGAATTATTTTTTCATAGTTTATTCTCACTAGTAGATGTATATAGTACCAAATAAAGCATGGAAATGTATGCATGCATGTGTACATTTATTTATTTATGTCTCTATCCTTGGCTGTAGGTCTCAACACCTCCACCCCATGTTATTATTTACAAAATAATAATCATATGAATTATGGCAAACAAATTTATCCACCAATCTGAGACCACCGGAGTGAGGAAACTTAAGAGTATGAGTTAGGAAAAATGAAGTGTTATATTGGGAATAAATTCATAAACGAATACCTCCCCTAACCCCCATCAAAGATGATAAAGGCTGGGGGCCAGCAGTTAGCGTAATGGCTATGTTGCTGGACTCCCACGTAGTCGACCGTGGTTTGAGTCCCAGATCCGGGGGCTTAAACTCACGCAAGGCGTGTGTGTGCGTGCCCAAGATCCTGAGAGGAGAATGGAGGAGAAGGGATTGCGGCGTGGCCATCGCCCCTGGGGGGTAATTTCTCGCTTTCTGTCTCTGTCTGTCTGGTGAGCACATGCGCCTTTTAGCAAAAACCTCTCAAAAAAAAAGAAAAAAAAAAAAAGATGATAAAGGCTGAAAATGGAACCCTGGAGGTCAAAGCAGGCAATGGGTTCAGGCGATCAAGAACATCCTGGTATGGGAACCAGCAGTTAGCGTAATGGCTATTTCGCTGGACACCCACATAGTCGACTGCGGTTCGCGTCCCGGACCCAGTGACTTAAAACTCACGCCGGGCGTGTGTGAGTGCGTGCCCAAGATCCCGAGAGGAGAATGGAGGAGAAGGGATTGCGGCGTGACCATCCTCCCTGGGGGGTGATTTCTTGCTTTCTGTCTCTATGTCTCTCTCTGTCTGTCTGGCGAGCGCACACACCCTACAGTGAAAATCTCTCAAAAAAAAAAAAAAAAAAAGAACATCCTGTTATGAGGACCAGCAGATGGCGTAATGGTTGTCGCTGGACTCCCACATGGCAGACTGCAGTTCAAGTCCTGGACCCAGTGTCTTAAAACTCATGCCAGGTGCGTGCGCATGCGAACCCAAAATCCTGAGAAAACAGAGAAGGGATTGTGGCATGGCCATCTCCCTAGCGGCGGGGAGTGATTTCTTGTTCTCTGTCTCTCTGGCGAGCACAAGCACCCTATAGCAAAAAAAATCTCAAAAAAAAGGAAGAAAAGAACAAGGGCATCCCAGTATGTCCATGACCCTCAGTGTAGGGACAAGAAATCATCTTCCACACAATTCTCTGCTCCTGTTAGAGGTAGCCAACCTGCTGGATGACAATAGGCCTGACCCAATTAGGCAACTGCTGCCCTTCCTGACAACTGTCTCCTTACTTTCCCTAACCCGAGCTATTAATGGCCTCTGGGACCTGAAGGACAAGAGTACCACTGCTTTGTATACTAAAAATATCCTGGCCTCAATGCTTCTGAAAGCAAGCAGGCAAGCCGGTCCCAAAGGGAACGGGGAAGAAGACACAGCTTAAACAAGCAGGGCAGCGATGGGCCCTGATAATGACGCTGCGTGTACCATGTCCACACAAGCTCCTCCAAGACAAGCCTGGCTTCACCCCATCTCCAGTGGGAGTGTCAGTGTACCTTACTATCACTGTGCCCAGGAAGAAATGATTGGGCCGAGAAGGTGATTGAAACAAATCTTCTAAATGCCTATACAGCTCAGAGTATGAAAAACAGGAACAACTCCATCATTTCTAAATGGTGCCGAAACATAAACCCCAGGGAACACACTATCATCACTGAGTTCCTACTAATCACTCAACACATCTAATCACACCTGCCCTTGTAAAACCAGCTGTGCATCTCTCTAGCCACCACCCAGCTACTCTTTCCGCCTCCCCTTTCTGGTCACCTGAAGGCTCAAAGGTAATGCTCACAAGGGGAGGCCTATGTGCAGAGGCTGGGCCGTGCCCAGCTCAGCAACCTGGGTAATTTACTTCCCTCAGGGAGAACGCATTCCTTTCAGGATTCTGTGAGGACTCAAGGTGTGAAAAGCAACCAGAAGGATCCAATAAATAACAGTTATTATGAACAACACCATCATCAGGAGTGTTTCGGGGAACTAGTGCCAAATGCTGCCCAGAGGTTGATAAAGCGGAGGACAGAAAAGTGACTGCTGGCTATGGAAGAATGCAAGTGGCCTCAACACAGACAAGTGTACAGTGGAGGGTGGAGGGTGGAGGCTGCCACCTCTGCCGCAGTAGGTTGAAATGCAGTAAGACCACCTAAGGCACCCCCTGCATTGATGGTGAGGACATACAGGGAGCAGCCTCAACGAAGAGCACATTGACAACGTTAAAAATCAGGCTGATGAGACCAGCAGATAGCATGGTGGTTGAGGAACTGGACTCCCACATAGCTGACCAAGGTTCAGGTCCCCCACCTCATAGCTTGAAAATCATGCCAGGCTGGGACCAGCAGTTAGCATAATGGCTATGTCGCTGGACTCCCACATAGTCAACCGCAGTTCGAGTCCCAGACCCGGTGGCTTAAACTCACGCTGGGCGCGTGTGCGTGCGTGCCCAAGATCCCAAGAGGAGAATGGAGGAGAAGGGATTGCAGCGTGGCCATCCCCTCTGGGGGGGTGATTTCTTGCTTTCTATCTCTCTGTCTCTTCTGTCTGTCTGGCGAGCACACGAGTCCTATAGCAAAGATACAGTTGTTCAGAACCTCAGAAGCCAGGGCAAACCCCAAGTTTAATTGAGCTCAACCCTTTGACTTGGCCTAAGCTTCCACAAAGCATATAAACTTTTTTTTTTTTTAATTGAATTTTACTTGGGGACCAGCAGGTGGCATGGTGGTTAAGGTGCTGGACACTCCCACATGACCAACCACGTTTTGAGTCATGGACCTGGTGGCTTGCTTTCTCACCTTCCCTCTCTCTCGCTCTCTGTGTCTCTCTCTGGCCAAATTAAAAATAAATGAATAAATAAAATTAAATAATTCTTTTTTAAAAAAAGAATTTTATTTACTTACTTACTTATTTATACATATATACACACATACCAGAGAGGGACAGAATGAGGCGGGGAGGAGTGAGAAAGCTAGCCACCAGATCTGGCACTCGAACTGTGTTCTGCCATGTGGGGGTCCAGAGCCCTTAACCACCACACCATCTGCTAGCCCTACTTATAAGCTTTTGTAACATTTTCCTAATTGTCCATAATTTCACCCAATTTTCCTCTAGGAGCCTGATGTAAATCAAGCACTGAGTAAAACTCAATTTACGCCACATTTAACTCCAAGAAAGGTGTCTTGTGACACCTGCAACTTTTTAAAAACGCATTTCAATCAGAGTCAAAGCTGGTCTCAGGGAGCTGTCCCTAAGCCTCTCGCCATCAGAATCCACTACTACCTTGTACTTCAATGACTGCCCCAGCCTAACACCAGCCTACTGTTCCTGGAACATACGCAGCTTGCCCTAGCTGGGGGGACCTTTGCCATCGCTGTTCCCTCTGCTGAAGCTCAGCACTCTTCCAATTCAGACATTTCTAGGGCTAAAGCCCTCACCTCCTTCAAGGTTTTGCTCAAATGTCACCTACTTACTGAGGCCCACACTGACTGCTCTATTTAGAATGGCAACTCTCCCACCAAGACCTCTTCCCCCACAGTCCCGGACTCTCTTTACTTGCTTAGGTTGAATGAAAAAAGATTTCCAAGTGAAAACTGAAACACATAGAACTATGGGTTTAGAGCCATCCACAGAGAAAAGACTAAGAAAAAACAGTCACAAAGAGAATGAGACAGCATCCAAAGAAGGTTCCAGGCCTGGCCAGCACCTGGGGATGCAGCAGACAAGTGTGGGTAAAACAAAGACACTGCCTGGTTTGACAATAGTCATCCACCTTTATCTTTTCTGACTCTTCATTTTATTTTTTTTTATCAGAGGGCACAAGCACTTGCCGGGATGGGAGTGGGGGCGTACCTTCAAATGGGGTGTAGTAACATCACAATCCCTTCTCATCCATTTTCTGTTGGGATTATGAATGCACATGCACCTGGTGATTTTCAAGCCTCCAGGCCTGGAATTTGAACTGCAGTGGGCCATGCAGGATCTGACTCCATCAACCACTAGGTTACAGGGCCAGCCCTCTGACTGTTCTTTTTAGGCTTTCTCTCTTTTTTTTTTTTTTTTAAGAATTATTTTATTTAACTTTATTTACTTACTTAGTTATTTTAATTTGATCAGAGAGGGACAGAGTGTGAGAGAGAGGAGAAAGTGAGAAAGCAAGCCACCAGGTCTGGGACTCAAACTGCAGTTGGCCATGTGGGAGTCCAGTGCCCTTAACCACCATGCCACCTGCTGGCCCCTAGGCTTTCTCTTTCAATGGTTTTAAGAATCTAGGTAATGTGGGGCTAAGACACTTGATTCTTCCCATGGGCTGTGGAACTTCAAAGTCGTAGATATGAGATTATAGGTGGTTCAAAGTAACATTTTTAATCTTATTTTTACTATATTTATACTTGGTATGGATTCTCATTTTTTTCACTGCTTTGATTTCAAATTTCATATAAATAGGATGCTAACAACTCTAGGAGATTTAGATTTGCTTGCAAACACTACTTTGTCTTCTCAGTGTACAAAGTCCTCTTGAATCTATTTTCTCATTTAGTCATCTTTCATACTAAAGAAGTATTAACATCTTTTCTTTTTTTTTTTTGAGAGGTTTTTGCTATAGGGCGCATGCACTCGCCAGAAAGAGACAGAAAGCAAGAAATCAGCCCCCAGGGGGAATGGTCACACCGCAATCCCTTCTCCTCCATTCTCACCTCAGAATCTTGGGCATGCACACACGCGCGCTCAGCGTGAGTTTAAGCCATTGGGTCTGGGACTCAAACCGCAGTCGACTACATGGGAGTTGAGCAACATAGCCGTTATGCTAACTGCTGGTCCCAAGAAGTATTAACGTCCTTAAAACGCCTCAGTGCCCTACAAACAAGATTTGGAGGTCCTAAGTAAACATGTAGAAATGGAGGGTTTTTTTTTAAGAATTATTTTATTTAACTTTATTCATTTTTATTCATTTTAATTTGACCAGAGAGGAACAGAGAGACAGAGAAAGAGAGAGAGAGAGAGAGAGAAAGCTACCAGGTCTAGAACTTGAACCACAGTTAGCCATTTGGGAGTCCAGTGCCCTCAACCACCATGTCACCTGCCAGTCCCAGAAATGGAATTCTTTATGCCATATTCATTATGAAGCAGCTTCTAGCACTCCTGCAAAGAGAGCATGGGTACAGAGTGCTTTGAGAAAATACAGTGTACTGGGGCTGTGCCCTTACTCAGATTCTATTTCCTATTGCACTTCCTCTTACCAGAAGGCCGGAATATAAGCCCTCAAATCAGGAAAGTTAGTGTTTCTTCACAAATGAACAAAAACCCTAAAACCTACAAGGGAGTTTAAAGTAGCAGATGTAAATACTACAGTAAAGAGAACCAGCAGTTAGCGTAATGGCTATGTCGCTGGACACCCACGTAGTCAACCGTGGTTCGCATCCCGGACCCGGTGGCTTAAAACTCACACCGGGCGCATGTGCGTGCGTGCCCAAGATCCCGAGAGGATAATGGAGGAGAAGGGATTGCGGTGTGACCATCCCCCCTGGGGGGTGATTTCTCGCTTTCTGTCTCTATGTCTCTGTCTGGCGAGCGCACGTGCCCTATAGCGAAAAACCTCTCAAAAAGAAAAAATATATATATATATATTACAGTAAAGAAGAAAGACCTCCACCCCCAGGGTGTGAAATGGCTGCTTGTTGCACTTGGTCAAGCCCAAGATCAAACATAAAATCTTCACACAGTTCTTAAAAAGCCTTCCCCCTGGTACCTGGCCATTACTTTGTCTGTGCACCCCTCCCCTCACTCACTTTCAGTTCCCTGGACTCTAAAAGGATGTGCTGCACCTGGATTATCACTATACCAAGTCACCCAGTATGTGCACCTAGCTCACCTGATTGCCCATACCATTCTTATTACAGGTAAAATTTTTCTCCTCCAAAATGAATTTACCTCATCTATTACAGTGCGCACCCCTTGTTAAATAAAATTTCTATGTGAATAACCTTTCCAGAGAGATTATCTCACTATCCTACAAGCAAATGCACAATTGGAATCCCAAAGCATCATATTAGAAATAGAGTCCTGGGAACCAGCAGTTAGCGTAATGGCTATGTCGCTGGACTCCCACGTAGTCGACCGCGGTTCGCGTCCCGGACCCGGTGGCTTAAAACTCACACCGGGCGCGTGTGCGTGCGTGCCCATGATCCCGAGAGGAGAATGGAGGAGAAGGGATTGCGGCGTGACCATTCCCCCTGGGGGGTGATTTCTCGCTTTCTGTCTCTATGTCTCTCTCTGTCTGTCTGGCGAGCGCACGCGCCCTATACAAAAAAAAAAAAAGAAATAGAGTCCTTTAGGGACCAGCAGGTGACATGGTGGTTAAGAGTGCTGGACTCCCACATGGTCGATCGTGGTTAGAGTCCCAGACCTGGTGATTTGCTCTCTCACTACCTCCCCCTCCATTTTGTCCCTCTCTGGTTAAATTAAAAATAATAGGGACTAGTGAATGGCATAGTAGTTAAGGCTCTGGACACTCCCATATGGCTGACCATGGTTTGAGTCTTGTACCTGGTGGCTTGCTTTCTCACTTCCTCTCTCTCTGTCAAATTAAAAATAAATAAATGATAAAAATTTTAAAAATGAAAGTACAAATAAAATTTAATAGTTTTTAAAAAAAGAAAAAATAAATAACGTAAAATAAAATAGGTCTTTGAGGCCAGCAAGTGGCATGGTGGTTATAGCACTGGACACTCCCACATGGCTGACCATGGTTTGAGTCCCAGACCTGGTGGCTTGCTTTCTCACTTCCTCTCTCTCTGTCAAATTAAAAATAAATAAATCTTTTGAAAATGAATGAATAAATAAAATTAAATTTTTTTTCACAAAAAGAAACGGTCATTTAATTTTTAACTTTATTTATTCATTCATTTTCAAAAGATTTATTTATTTTTATTTATTATTATTCTTCAATTTGATGAGAGAGAGAGAAAGCTGCCAAGGCCTAGACTTGAACTGCAGTCAGCCATGTGGCAGTCCAGCATTTTAACCACCATGCTACCTGCCAGCCCCATTCATTTTTCTTTTAATTTAACCAAAGAGACACAAAGAGGGAGAGAAAGAGAAAAAGTGAGAAAGTAAGCCACCAGGTCCAGGACTTGAACCACAGTTGGCCATGTGGGAGTGTCCAGCACCTTAAACACCACACCACCCACTGTTCTCAAGAGTCCTTTATTCTTTACTGCCTTTTTTTTTTAAAAGAGAGGTTTTTGCTATAGAGCATGTATGCTTGACAGACAGAAAACGAGCAATCACACCTCCCCACCTAGGGGGGATGGCCACACTGCAATCCCTTCTCCATTCTCCTCCAGAATTTTGGGCACACATACGCGCCTGGCATGATTTTGACTTGAACCTTGGTCAGATTTATTACATCAGGAGTCCAGTGATGTAATTGCTTCGCTATCTGCTGGCTCCACTCTTCATTGTTTTTTAAACAAATGAGATGTCAGCACTTTTGTGATGAAGAAAGCAGGTGCAAGATCAATAGGATGATCACAAAAAGACTTCTCTGGAGACTAGCAGATGGCTTAATAATTATGTCTCTGGACTCCCATGTACTCAACCACGGTTCAAGTCCTGGACCCAGCGGCTTAAACTCACACCAGGCACGTGTGCGTGCATGCCGAAATCCCAAGAGGAGAATAAAAGAGACGGGACTGCAGCATGGCCATCATCATCACCCCTGGGAGGGTGATTTCTTGCTTTCTGTCTCTATGGTGAGAGTAGGTACCCGATAGCAAAACTCTCTCTCAAAAAAAAAAAAAAAAAAGCTCCTCTGCAGGACCAGCAGTTGGCATAATGGCTATGTCACTGGACTCCCATGTGGTCAACTGTGGTTCAAGTCCAGGACCTGGCTTAAACTCACGCTGGGCACTTGGGCATGCATGCCCAAGATCCCAAGAGGAGAATGGAGGAGAAAGGATTGTGGCATGGCCATCCCCCCCTGGAGGGTGATTTCTTGCTTTTTCTCTGTCTCTGTCTTTTTGGCAAGTGCACGCGCCCCACAGCAAAAACCTCTTTAAAAAAAAAAAAAAAGGCTCCCCTGAAATGGAGACACAAAAAAAGGCTCCTCTGAAATGGAGAGCCAGGGAAGGGCATTCAGGTTGGAAAGAATAGCTTGCCCATAGGCACAGGGGTAGTAAGAGACTCAGAACAAGCAGAGAGTAGATAGAAAACCTTAAACAAGCATAGTAAGGAATGGCAAGCCAAGTGAGAGGTAAAAGGAAGCTGGATCTGCTGAGTAAAAATGCATTGTTTGCCATGGAGTAGTTTTGTTTTGGGAATGGCACGATCTGATTTATAATGTTAAAAGACTTCTCTAACTGCTCTATGGAGATCAGGGGAGGAGACTGTGATTATGGTATGTTGGACTAGAAAGATGGTCATAAATAGTGGATATATGAGAAAGGTGATTTTTTTAAAATGGTACAAAACATGGCAACTTGGGGGGGCAGCAAGTGGTATGGTGGTTAAGGTGCTGGACTCCTACATGGCCAGTCATGGTTCGAGTCCTGGACCTGGTGGCTTGTTTTCTCACTTTCCCTTTCTTTCTTTTTTTTTTTTTTTTGGAGAGATTTTCACTATAAGGTGTGTGCACTCGCCAGACAGACAGAGAGAGACATAGAAACAGAAAGCGAGAAATCATCCCCCAAGGGAGGTGGTCATGCTGCAATCCCTTCTCCTCCGTTCTCCTCTCGGGATCTTGAGCACGCACACACACACACACCCCGCGTGGGCGTGAGTTTTAAGCCACCGGGTCCAGGATGCGAACCACGGTCGACTACGTGGGAGCGACATAGCCATGACGCTAACTGCTGGTTCCCTCACTTTCCCTTTCTATGTCTCTCTCTGATCAAATTGAAAAATAACAACAAATAATTATTTTAAAAAATGGTAAACTTCAACGTAACAGAATGTTTTCTCTTACAATCGTTCTTGTGATCTTACGAACAACTGGAAATTGTAAATAACTCTAGACAATAGATTCCAAAGTGGAAGCTTGGAGGTAAAATACAGGCTACACTTAATGTTTTGCCAGCGAATTTTCTTTTCTTTAGGTTTTTGTATAGGGTGCATGTGCTTGCCAGAGAGAGAGAGAGAGACAGGGAAAGGGACTATGAGAACTCACTCCCCAAGAGGAATGGCTACGCAGCAATCCCTTCTCCTCCATTCTCTTCTCAGGATTTTGGTCACGTACACACACAAGCCCAGCATGATTTTTCTTTTAAAATAATTATGTGTTGGGACCAGCAGTTAGTGTAATGGCTATGTCGCTGGACTCCCATGTAGTGGGCCACGGTTCGAGTCCCAGACCCGGTGGCTTAAACTCACGTCGGGCGCATGTGCATGAGTGCCTAAGATGCCAAGAAGAGAATGGAGGAGAAGGGATTGTGGCGTGGCCATCCCTCCTGGGGGGTGATTTCTCACTTTCTGTCTGTCTCTCTGACAAGCGCAAGTGCCCAATAGCACAAACCTCTTCCCACAAAAAGAATTATTTATTAAACTTTTATTTATTCACTTTTTAAAAAAATTTGTCCAGAGAGAGACAGAGAGAGAGTGAGCATGAGCGAGAGAGAAAAGTGAGAAGCAAGCCACCAGGCCCCAGACTCAAACCATGGTAGGCCATATAGGAGTGTCCAGCACCTCAACCACCACTTCATCAGCTGATCCCTGTGACTAACCATGTGGAAATCTAGTGGCTTATTCACCATGCCACCTGCTGGCCCCTCAAAGTTTCCTTTTTAAAAATTTGGGTTAATGTGATAGCTATAAATCAGGATTTCTGACTTCTTTTGGATATTACTAGAACTGGTAAACACTGGGGCCATATTTCCACAGGATAATAACTGGCTAGAGTCATCAGCTGATCCCTGTGACTAACCATGTGGAAATCTAGTGGCTTATTCACCATGCCACCTGCTGGCCCCTCAAAGTTTCCTTTTTAAAAATTTGGGTTAATGTGATAGCTATAAATCAGGATTTCTGACTTCTTTTGGATATTACTAGAACTGGTAAACACTGGGGCCATATTTCCACAGGATAATAACTGGCTAGAGCACAGGCTTTCTGGTTTATCACAGTTCCTGCACTCAGCACCCTTTCCTCATTTATACTATCTGCAGCAAAGATAGCTGAGTTGGGTTGTTTTTTAATTTATTTAACTTTACTTATTATTATTATTAAATTTGCTATAAGACACAGAGCTCAGCAAAGAAAGAAAAAGTGAGAAAGCCAGCCACCAGGTCGAGTACCCGAACCTCAGTTGATCATGATGGAGTCCAGCGCCTTAACCACTATACCACCTGCTGGCTCTAAGAGTTGTTTTCTATTCCTCTAGTCAGTTACCATTCAAGGACAACAGGAGCCCCTGCTCAATTAAAAGTATTTCAATTTGGACTTTTAACTAGAGTAGCTGATTCCTCTCAAGTGACCTTAACACAATTTTAATCAACAGTCGGCTTTAGGTTTTATGTGGCCTCCCATTACCTGGGTCAGGAATGAAAAACCTGAAGATCCATGCACAAGGAAAATTACACTCTGAGATGACCAAACCAGAGGAAACAAAGGGAATACAACCTCCAGGTATCACCACTGCCTGGCACTGCTCAGACTGGCTCATTCTGCACATCAGGGAGCAACACAGGGCAATCAACTCTAAGCTCCAGAGGGCAGGGACCCATCCATGCCTCCTCCTCCATCACACAGCCTGAGCATGCACACTGAAGGCACTGACGGTGTGGAAACTGAACAAGAGGAGCTCAGTCTCTAGACATCTATTTTTGAGGGGGGGAAAAATGCCCAAATTGATAACTTTTCCTTCCACTAGAAAAAGGCACCTGTAATTCAAGGGCTGTAGATCAGTCACTTACATAGCAAATGCGGCCTCCAGCGCTGTTAGCTCACATCTATATTGTTTGGGGTCTCTGAAACCTCATTTCCCTGCATATTCATCCCAGCCTCACGTCCACCCAAGGCCAGAAAAAAGTACATTGATCAAAATACCATTAACTTACAAACCATTTTAAACTGGACATTAAAAGGATTCACGAAGGAATTAAAAGGAATCCCTCTTTAAACTCACCACCCGAATCCAAGAATTTTTCTTTAGGACCTTTCCAGCATCCACCATCAGTTTGCACCCCATCCCCAGCTGTGAAACCTTCCCTAAGGCAAGTATCTTAATCTGACCCCTAAGTCTCATCTGCACAGAGGGTAACAACCACCTCCGTGGCTTTCCTTCCGGTGGGATGCAAGATTAAATGCCCAGTGCTTGACATAAAATTAGCATCCAACCAACGGCGGCTACCCTCAGCATCTGCACAATGTCGGGGGGCAAGGGCCGATCTGTGCTGGGAGGACCCGCACCCCAGGAGGGGGTCGGGGGCTAGGCGGGCGCGGCTCACCCACCTGCAGGCGCACGTTGAGCATCATGGAAGCCACGATGTAGAGGTAAGGGAAGTTGATGC